AAGGAAAGCCATTTACCAATGGTGAGTTAATTAAATTGTGTTTCATAGCAGCAGGAGAAATGTATTGTGAGAAAATGTACTTGTTTAAGAGTAGTAGCCATTCAGCAAGAACAATTGCTTGGAGAATTAAGAAAATTCACAGCAGCATAGTCAATTAAAAATAAGGCAAAAGATTTCAGGATGAGCTTCATTCTTAATGAGTTGGCAGATATTACTGATACTGTTCACTGATAATTTACTGAGGAGTCACCTCTGAACTTGAAGTGTTTGGAGAATTAGTATCTGTAAAACTTCTGTGTGGAACAACTTTTAGGTGAGATTATTTTCAAAGAAGTTCAGAAGACACTTAATTCAGTTCAACCTCAAGTGGAATCTGGATGTGTTATAAATACTAGTTATATGAGGCGGAAGGATCTCCATGACTTTGAGGCCACCCTGGGCTATATACTGAGTTCAAAACCAGCCCGAACTACAAAGAGAGACCCTGTCTCAAAATCACGGAACAAACACACTTGTAAAAATAGGTGTGAAGAAAAGAAAACTTAGTTGGACACATGAACAAGGCTCATTAAAGTGTAATGTGTTTAAGTTCTGTGTTTATTCATTGTGTTAATAGCAGATACTTTGCAAAAGCATATTTGAATTTATCTTGTTATTGGATCAGTAGTTCGTTTACTCCCATAGACTTTACTATTGTCAGGTAAATTTTTAATCAGAAATAGAAGCTGACACTTGACTTGTTCTACCACATAATAGTTTGTGGATAAGAACTACTTCCAAATACTGTGTTTGAACAATGACTGGCTTTGGAAATTAGCTTTTACTGCAGACTTGATACTGGATATTAGTGAATGCAGCCTAATTTTGCAAGGCACAACTATGTGTACCTACAAAACATACATTGTGGTAAAGTCATTTAAGAAACAAATACCATTGTAATGACAAAAAGTAATTTAAAAAAATTATGAAAAGTTAAAACAAGAAACAAGATCTTCATTCCCATGCATTTTTGCAGCAGACGCATTATCTGAGCTCAAATTACAGTTGCAGTGGTATTTTTCTGATCTTAATTTGTGTGGAAAGGAAATTTCCATATTTCTAAAACTACTTAAATTGTATAATTGAGGATCTTCTAACCTTTGATTAGAAATGATTAATTTGAAATGTAATGAAGTGCTAAAATGCACATGTCAAAAGAAGAATCTAGTAGACTTTTATAATACTTTGTAGAATCAAACAGACTTTTATAAATGCTTTCTAAATGATAAATATGCTCATTAAAATCATAGGCTCAAGGGCCAGGGATTTAGCTCAGTGGTTCCGGCACCTGCCTTGCAAGTGCAAGGTCCTGAGTTGATTTCCTGGTACCAAAAAAAAAACATAGGCTCAAAAACATAGGCTCATGGATATCAATATTTGGCAATATCTATATGAAAAAATATTTAAAAAAATGAAATTCATAAAATCTCATTACAGATCAACATTAAGACATAAACTTTTTTTTTTTTTTTGAGACAGGGTCTCATTCTGCAGTTCAGGCTGACCTTGAACTCACTATGTAGCCTAGGCTGGCCTTGAACTTGTGGCAGTCTGCCTGCCACAGCTTCCCAAGTGCTAGGATTACAGATGTAGGCCACCATGCACAACTCTAAGAGATAAACATTTGCAGTCAATTATGATGGTAGAGAATAGTAACTTTGAACCTCAATTCTGTGAAAAGTTACTTCTGCTTCAATTCCAGTCTTTTAATCGGTAGATCTATAGTATTAAAAAGTTGAACTAGGGCTGGGGATTTAGCTCAGTGGTTTTGGTGCCTGCTGCGCAAGCGCAAGAACTGGAGTTCAAGCCCCAGTACCAAAAAAAAAAAAAAGTTGAACTAAATATTATATTTTAATGCTCTCAATAGAATGTTTGTGGAAGTTTTTTGTCTCATTTAAGAGACTCAATTTTACTTTTTAGCCCATACACACTAAAATATATGCTGTATGAAGTTTTAAAAAAAAGTGTTGATGTATGGATTAAAGAATAAATGTTTACTTTAGTTTTTAATTAAAAAATAGTCTCTTTAAAGGTATCAACAATTTTTTTCCTTCTTTAGTAATATACTGGCCCATGAAAAAGCAATATTTAATGCTCTCAATAGAATGTTTGTGGAAGTTTT